AGCATGCACGCCAAGCCATGTCAGTAGAATAGGGGACGGCAGCAGACTGGCAAGCCTTGCATGCCGTTTGTCTATCTCCACACTTGCAGATAAAATCGAGCACTCTCGGCCGAAATTGGCGAAACAAAGAAGTTGAGTTATTTTAAGGTCGATAAGAAAATTTGTATTATTATGTATTATTGAATTTTATTGTATATTTTCTCGCAAGCAAAGAAACTAAGGATTACATTAAAGATGTTAACCAAATCTCAAAAAAAGTATTTACAAAAAAACAGGTGTGTTTGAAAGGAAAATTTAATTGTTTTGTAATGAAATGTAGAAAATCCTCAAAAAACTTAATTGGTGGCATAAATATAAGTATTTTTTAATTGCAATACATTTTAAATATTATTAAAATCCTAGAAAAACAAACCACGATTTTATTTTCAGTGTTCTGGCTGACTTCGCCCGTGTGCCCTGTCTGCGTGAGTGTCTTTGGCACAATGCAAGTGACAGTTTAAGGCATGCAGGTATGGCATGCATTTTATTTGCTTTCGATTAGACCCAACAAACTGTCTCGTCTGCTGCAGTTTGTTTGCCATTTGTTTATGGCGACTAATTTCGTGTTAAGAAATTTGCAAACAACCCGTTCAAAGCCCGGCATTCGCCAGCTCTCAGGGCCCATTTGTCATGCCTGAATGGGCGTTTTCAGGGGAGCGAAGCGGTCTAGACAAGGGTCCGCCCACCCACACCAGTGCGCCTGTCAGTGGCAGCTGCTCGTCTGTCTGTCAAAAGGGGCCGACCGCCCTGAACTTGAATTTTAAACGCCGAACCGCAAATAAAATGTGTATGTGGTGTATGGTGTGTGTTGTTTGTGGTCATTAAACGTCAGCTGCAGACAGGAAAAAGTCAAATGCTCAACAGTCCCTCGGAGCACCGCATAATACGCATTAATAAGCCGGGATGCTTACCAACTGAATTACGCCAATAACTGTCATATTTGACATTACCGCTGCCAGTTCTCCGATCCCCGAACAGTTCATTATTCTTAGCTCTAGGAAATTTTAAATAAATTCAAAAATAATAAAAACAAACGGATAAAATAAAATGAGAGTGTGTTGCGTAAGCAAAATTTCAAAGTATGAAACACCAGATTCAAATTTTGACAAATTTGTTGCTTTCATTACAAAATATATTTTTCTTACAGAAATTCTAAAGAGATAAATTATAATTCATTACGAATTATGAGGTATTTAATTGAGATAAATATTATTTTTACGCCCACCATGACTCGTTGTACGAACTTTGATAAATATTAAATATTTCTTTAAATTGTTTTACAAATGTTGATCCTCTTTTTGAACGTAATAAATTGCACAACATTTTGAGTATATTTTTACCCCTTAGCCAAGTGGTTAATTAGATTTTGCTATGGGACATACATAATTTTATAAAAGCACAGAGCGTTGAAAAACGCTAAATCAACATATTCCCGGAGCCCACTTGATGATATTGTCACGTACGGCGTCATACGCTGCGTATGCGCAACAAATCGGGGCCAAAGCCAAATAAACAAATGTGTCTTCTTTTTTCGCAACTACGGCTGTTGCTTTTGCTTTTGTTGGGCATCAACAATCAAGCTAAAAGCCACGTTCAGGTGGAGTTTCCTCGTATTTTTTTGGAGGGGCATGGGGAGGTATACTGTGAGCGTGGGAATGTGAGTGTGTGTCGCATATGTAACAATGTTTGCCCGGCCAGATTAAAAATTATGCTTTGTTTGCCCAACTGTCAGCAGAAAAAGCCGGGGCAACAACAATAACAGCGGGGACACAAAAACGCCCCAACACACAAAATGGCGAACAAAATAAAAAAAAATGGTGTAAAAAACTTTTCTGGCCTACACACAGTGACAGTGACAACAAACCAAACAAAAGTTGCCAAAGCCGGGTTTCGTTGTTCTTACCTTGCCCCGAAAATGTGTGTCAGCTGATACATAAGAGACATCACCCACCGCCAACCACCCACCACCCACGCATCATAATCATTTTTTTCGGCCACACCGTGTTGTTGGTAGCAATCAGCATTTTTCTTTATTTCTGCCCGTTTTGCAAGCTGAAGTTTATTTTGTAAACATGCCACTAAAAGTTTTCCACTTTGCTCTAAAATACTCAAACCGAATGCCAACACCAGCGACAACGTGTCCCACTCACCCCACTCAACCCAATGCCCCCTCCCCTTTGTTTACTGTTTTTTAGTTAATTTAAAAAGTTTTTTTTTTGCCGCTCCTGGTTTTGCAGAGAAATTTCTGTCGTTTCTCGTTTTTGATTTGCAGCAGTCAGAAAAATTGGTAAACGATTCGTCGAAATGTTGTTAGGGCACTACCCACAAACAGAGAGGAATATTTTTGTAGTGGCAGTTGTAGCTGCGGCCGGTTGAGTCCTGGGAAAACTGACATTTGTGCGCCTTTTCCTCCCTTCGTCTGTATTTTTCTTTACAGTTTTCTCCCTCGTTTTTGCCAAGGCATTGCTTTTACAGTTTTTTCGTCGGTTTGCTTTGCTTTTGACTGCTGCTTCTCAAAATGCTTCTTTTATTTATGTGCTGTCACCGAAATTGAATTAGAAATCGCTTGTGCTGGCAGCCAAGCTAGCGGTCCAAATGGATTTAACTCGATAAAAGTGTGAGTAAAAGCACACGCTCTTAAAATACAAAATTTATTTTGGCTACATATTATATTATAAAAAAGTAAAAATAGTAAACAAACTTGTTTTAAACAAATACAGGTTTATTTTATAACACACGTTGAGTAAGAAGTATAGTTTATAGTTTTGAGTAAGGAGTTTAGTTTACCATTACATAATTCAATCTAAAACTGTTATAATATTTTTAAGACCAAAAAAACTGGTTCTATCTCTGTTAAAACCCTTTTACAAACTTCGATCTTGATTTCCGCATTTTGTGATTTCATTTGGACGCATAGCAGATCCTCTAATGGTCCTTTTAACCTCTCTGCTGAATTTCAATGGCCACGTTATCTGGCCAAAACGAGCCGTTTTGGTTAGCAAAACATTTGCGTTTGTCTGGCCCTCTGTTTTTCCCGAGCTTTCAGCTGGAGCCGCTAACTGCATTCTGGGAACTGCACGTTCGGCGTCCTTTAATTAGATTTCAGTCCGGCAACGACATCGTCGAGCTACTACTCTGCTGGTATTATTCTTCCTGGACATCGACGCTCGTTGACAACTGGCTGCTGGTGTCCTGCGCCGTGCCACTATGCATATATCCCTAGCTCGCTAAAATTGGAGCGCTTTTTTGTGAGAAAAATGATGTGAAATAATTTGCCAAGGTTGCTGTCCTTCGCCGGCGAAAAGGATCCAGAGTAAGTGGGTCGTGAACGTGCGTCTGACGTGGCCATTTGGCGCACCTTCACGGAGATGTATAACCTTATAAAAGGGGGAACGGGAGATGGTTTGTTTTCCCACCGAGGCTGCCCTTTCTCGCTGTGTTTATTTAGGTGAAATTTATTTTACTAATTATTATGTAAGCGGCGGCGCTTTGAAGCATCTAGCGCCAAGTGTTGCTTAATGAAATTAAAGCGCTTCTAAAGTGGGCCACGCCCACCCTCGCCTCTAATTTTCCATTACGTAATTTATGTGCCAGGTGTGTCTAGCATGTTTTAAAACATAGCATAACGCAAATGATCGATAATTTATACCCATAAAATAAAGTTAACCTTGCTGGAGAAATTCCTCCATCGCCGCATCGCCGCTGTGCAATATGATAATGTTCAGGTTTTAACTTAATTTTACATGCCCCACGCCGGGGCAAAATTCCCTTGGCCAAAAGTGGACAGCAAAGTAAATTTGTACACACATATGTAGTGAAATAACAGCAAATATACATATATTTACTATACCATATATAGTGCCACGTTATATATTTTTTTATAGCTCTCCTGGGATAATCAGCGAGAGCAGCAGCATCGCTGGCAAAGCTAATGTAAAGTCCAACGCAGACACATAAAAATGAGAATTTATGCATTTTTTTCGAGGCAGAACAGTCGACCAAAGTAGCCACCGCAGGGAGCGGGACCAACAACATCCTGCCAGGTGGGGTGGGCATTTCGGCATCCTGGCATCCCGGCATCCAGGAGCAGCAGAGGTGACACAGGTGACGCTTTTGTGGATTTGTGGCCAGCATTGGCGTTTATTACTGGATGGCGCGGAGAGGAAGGAAGTGCGCACATGTCGCCCAGGAAGAAAGCTACAGCAACAAAATGTCCATAATAAAGTTGTAAAAATTGCAAAATTTTATTTCTTTCTTTCCGTATTAATTTAAACATTTTTACCTCTCGCTGGAAAAAAATATTGTTCGTTTATGCAAACGACACATTCAGAATAAAAAATTGGTTGACCACATTTTTAAATGTTTGGTTGGAAAAATTATATACACAGCTTAAAACAATGGATTTAAATGTTCAATAAAGAGCGACGCGTCGAGGGAATGAATGAATGAATTGTTTAAGGAAAAGTTCAGTAAATTTCAATAACACATGTATACATCAGCATATTTGCATTTAAATGTCATATAAAACATGTTTGTCTAATTAGCCAGATAAACCTTATCTCTCAGCAGACTTTTCCTTGACTTGACTTTTCCAAAACAAAGTCACAAGCGGCTAATTAAAAAGTGTATAACTTTTGCTGCATAATTAAATTTTATTTTTCCTTTGCGGCAGAGAAAAGTTGAAAAACAAAAAGCTCTCGAATTTTAAAGCCTGGCTGAAGGTTGGGAAAAAATTTGAGTAAGCAATGTGGGTGTGAATAATTGTTATTATAAATGAAACGAAACCTGAGCAAATATGCCAATTGGTGACAAACAATTGTCAATACTTTATACTACGAAAATAATGATTTTCTGTGTTGAAATAATAATTTTTAATTACTCATTGTTGATATGTTTGTCTACAGCTATTTTGAGCAGCCGAGAAATGGCCAGCAAAGATAAAAATTGATTTCATGACTCACCTGGCTTGAAGCCATCGGCATGCTCGTGCGAATTTACATAGGTTATGGCTCCCATGATCAGGCAGATAAGGAATGAGACGGTGATGGACATGGTTGTGGCTCTGCTCCCGATCCGATTGGCTGATTGGTGATTACTGGTTAGTTGGTATTCGGCGCTTGGCTTGATTGCGGCTCACTGAACGAGCACTGAATATGCAAATAAATTGGGCTCGCTCTGCTCGAACATCGTTTCAAATATTTAAGCTCGTTGCTCTAATTCGCTCTCTCTCAATGATTTGTTGGCGGCGCGTTTTATCGTTACCACTCGTGTTTTCGCTTTTCACTTAATTAAAAACTTTTGCGCTGCACATAAATTCATTTTAATATTTACAAACATTTTTTCCGCTTGGCTCCTGAGCTGCTGTTTGTACAAAACGCATAACCGTTAAGATGAATTTTTAATAGAATTTGACGAGGCTTAACTTTGGTCACCTAAATATGTGTGTGTGTGTGTGTGCGCGTGTGTTGGTGCGCGTTTCGCTGTGTGTGTGTTTGCTTATAAATATTTAAAATAAAGCGCGCACGTGTTGCTCATTTCGCGCACTTTTTCTTGCCCGCTTCGCATTAAAAATGTAATTTCAAATCCTTTTTCCTCGCATCCTGAAGCTTAGCCGTGTCCTTTCCGAGTAGTAACTGCAATTAAACAGAAAGAGACACAAGTTTAGAGTGAGTCAACAAGGATAGCGGTCGTTTCATGTGGTTAGTGGCGTTTTAATTAAAATGCTCGCATATTTGCCCACTAAGCCAGTTCGTTTTGGGGGATTTCTCGACGCAGCTCCACCATAAATAAATGCTCATTAATTCGAAGGCCATTACATAATGCCAGGACACACACCGAGAACAACTTAATGCCAATCAATAATGATGGATTAGCCCGGGACACACACAGGAGAACTTTCATTTATCTGCTCGGGATACGCAAACGAATGGCCCAAGTTCAGCTTAGGTGGGAATTAATTGAGGAAGCACAAAGTAAAATAGCACTGAAGAAAAAAGCACCCTTAAAAGCGGTTATTCAGCTCTTGATATTTTCAGTTAATTTAAGCAATTCATAATCTTTATCTTGAAACTCTATTTTAACAGTTGTTATGTTGGGGTTATAATCATTGTAATACTTATCAATGTGGATTTAACAATATGAAACTTATCGGTATTTTCTGCTCGATTTGATTGAATGTACCTATAATCTTATAACTATTTTCGCAGTGCTGCAGTGAGGGCAAAAAAGATACACACGCGGAAAAACAAAGAAAGATCTCTACCACATGACATTCCCAATCGCCTTGTCAATGGCCTAATGTGTGGCCATGGTCTTAAGCAAACCAAACTCTGTATCTCCCCTCGCCACCCACAACACCCCATTGCTAACTAACGGTAATTGACAAAAGAGTCATGAAAACTTTGACTTGAAAGTTGTTGCCACGTTTTTGTTTAACACGCAGCCAAACAAGCTGACAGACTTGTATGACAGCCAGTCAAGCGAAGTTCTCCAGCGCCTGGGAAAAAAGACTCCTGGAGGAGGAGGACGAGGACGAAGCGGAGGAAGTGGGTGCAGGTGCGATGGGTCAGAGGAGCAGACCCACCTTGAGCGGCGGGAACACCCACATTTACCTCAAGGACAAGTTGTGTTACTTGAGCAAGTTTGCATTGGGTAATTAAGAGCTGTGCAAGTGTTTATTGAGAGATTGTCGGCGGAGAGTGTCTTTACCTATGTGAGTGGGTCTCTGTGGGGGAAAAGTTTAGTTTTTCCACAAAAAGGGAAGAGGGAAAAAAAAACTTTGACTGCTAAGTACCGATTAAGGGGTATACGATAGCATCTTCGTTAATATTCTGAAGACACAATCGTACCGAAAATTGTTATTGCAAACACACCTTTATGTAACACACCAGTTCTTATTAAAATGTGTTATTTTTTTTGTTTATATTTCAAATAAAATGTTCGAAACTTTCTACTTTGTACAAGTAGCTTAAATAAAGCCTAATTGATTTATAAGAAATTTAAATCTAATAAGATAAATAGCTTTTTAACTTTAAATATCTATTGACCTGTCTTATAACTATAACAGCTATTACCATTCTAAATTCAAGTTTTTATTTAGGGTTCATATTTTAACTTAAAATATTAGAAACTTTCACTTTGTATAAGCAGCTTAATTAAAGATTTATTAATTTAAAAGTAATTGTATTGTTATTAAGATTAATAGTGTTTAAACTTATTTGGCTAACCGATTTTTATTTCCAGAAATTCCAGGCAAAACTCGCAACTTAAAATGCAATCTGATGCGATATGGATCTATACAAGTCATAATTCTGCACTGCTTTTTCACTGAAATCGCTCGACAAATTCCAAGTCACTTGGCTAGTCAGTGAACCCATTTGCCTATGCCTATAGAAACAGTCAACAAATGGCACATTAGGTTCTAGAACCGATGGCAGTGGCTGAAAAACCGGGCGAACAAACAAAAACCATTGACAAAAACCAAGTCAATTATGCCAACAATATGCACACATTTCAAAAACGATGCCAGTAAAAACAACAACATAGCCAAGGACAACACGGATATTCCATACAACTATGGCAATGTTAAACAATAACAAAAAATAAGGTGGTCGAGCAGGAGGGAAAACGGGGAGGGGCACAAAACCTAACCAAACCGAACGAAATGAAATGAAATGAATAACCGATGGTGGTAGTGGAGTCCAGGGAAATGGAGTAGAGTCAGTGTGAAGTTGGTTGAATGTTTTTTGCCTGCGGCGATAGTTTTATTTTTTCCTGTCTTTTTCCTCACTTTTAGAAAGAGCTTTAGATTTTTAAACGCACTAAAAGAGAATAAAAGAATATATAAATTATTTTGAGTAGATGTTGTGTCAGAAGGAAACATTAATTATAAATTATTTGTATAGTAAACTAAGCTAAGATTATTTTTTAGATTTGTTTATGACTATTTTTGTTGATTTAATATATATATATATAATATATAATAATACATTTTCACCTTATGGTTTAAAAACCATAATTGATTTTATTTTATTTGACATTAATTTATTATTTACCGATTTTAAGTGTATTCAAAACAACGACCAGTAAAGTGTACATTTTCCACAGAACTTTTTTGTTATTCACTTTTTCATTGCAAGTTACCTGGCAATGCCTTTGGGCGCTTAGCGTATAAATTGAGCGCAGCAATTTCATTTAAATGTGCACAATAAACTTAGTTCATGACCCTCGAGCATTTTGGGTGGCGGGACGGAGTCGTCTCCTTCGGTGTTGTGTGTCGTTTATGTCTGCACATCGTCTAAATTGTAAATCACATTAAATTTGCGAGCAACATGCATAATGCAGGCCAGGCCAGCAAAAGCACGGAAAATGAGGCAAAAAGTCGCAGCCAGGACGAATGACAGTGCAGGAACCGGAAGTGCAGCACAAGCACACACATAAGTGATTTTTTGTGGGGCAATTGAAATGAAATGAATTGCGGTTGAGGAGTCCGCAAACAAAGCAGAGTCAGCAACATAAAGCAGGAGAAGAAACAGGAAAGGACCCGCCCGCCGCGAAAATTGCACTGGAAAAACTGTCGCCCGGCAAGGAAATCGATAAGCATGGGGGAAGAAAGACGGTAAGCCAAAGCGGAAAACTTAAGCGATCGGGTTGAGTGAGTGGCATCCAGCATAAAGGTAATTTAGTCGCTTGACATGCTTTTCAAACTGCCAAACCTTTTTTCATTTCGCCTCACTCCACTCCGCTTTTCTATCAAGATTTCCTGCACTTGTTTTTACAGCACAGAATTTGATTTGCATTTCCTGCGTTAGATAGATAGTCTCTGTGTGTCCATCTATATCCGACTGCGCTTGTCAGGAGATTTGGTCGTATTTGACAGCTGGGAAAATGCAAATTGATTGGCTAAATGAAAATTAATTTAAAGCAGCCAGCAGATGGGGGAGTGGAATCCGCTGCCAGGCACTCCAATTAAATCCTGCCTTCAGCTGCAGGCGCTCCCCTCCACTCCTATAAAAATTTAAGCAATATTTTAAAAGCCTGTCTCTCGTCTGCTGCATATTTTATGTTTTATATTTACAGCGAAGCGAAATTTTCGGGATGAGCCGAGGGGTTTGAGTGGTCGAGCTCCACTTTTGCACCTGCAACTGCAACAATTTCTTCTGGCCCTTGTTTTTTTTTTTTTTTTTTTTAAATTTTTTTGTTTTATTTTTTGCCTGGCTCAATTTCCGGCAAACTGCCGACAAGGCTTATCCGTCTTCCGCCCCACCTGCTCTTGGCCTCCGGCGCCTGGACCATGCCCACTTTCATTTCAACTACACGCTCAAGTGAACTTCGCTAAATAATACAACAAATTGTGCAGTGGGGCCCACTGCAAGCACCCTCAACGCAAAAAAATTTTAAAACATTTTCGTGAATATACATACATATATATATACATTTTTTTGCAACTTGAATTGCATTTTTAAAATCGAGTAAAGTGCGCGGGTGGCGACCTAAATATTTGCCATGTTGTTAAATTACAAGAGAAGGAATAAAAACCAGCGTCAGCATTGCGAGTGCGAGAAATAAAAGGCGAAACTAAATCAACAAACGCCTACGGGCCAAAGGCAGACATTATGAAAATGGCGACAAACGACCGGAAGTGGCCACCAGCACACACACACACACACACTCACGCGGGCAGAAAGGCACACACACAACTGTATGTATGTGTAGAAGCACATGGGATAGTATAGCCCGTAGCTAACCTGGCGCTGACTTCCTGCGATTTAAATATGGCCAAGCCGCAGCCCCAAAGCCAAAAGCCAAACAGACGACAACGCATGCAAACAGAGGGGAGGGGATGCGGGTGCCGAGGGGGGTGGTGGTAGCAAGGAAGTGGGGCAGCGTAGGAAGCAGCCAGCTATATAATGAGGCTGAAACCAGGCTCGCATTTGCCCGCTGCTCATTTCCAGGTCGACATAATTTGTCCATAATTTGTCTGCGTCTTGCGCAGAGGGGTCGCCCAAAAAGGGAATGGGAACTCCGTCTGAGGGTTTATCTATGCCCCGCCGGGAAGCTATTTATGTCCTCTTTTGGGGCTCCATTCACCCCTCACAAAATTCGGCTTCGGCATTGGGGGAAATGTAAATTATGAAACTGAGTCGATTTTTAATAGAGAAATTGGGCGAGGACGGAATGTGGGATACACAGTGGCAATTATGAAGAACATACTTGAACATTCTTTGAATTCTATGATTTATTAAAGTTGAATAATAGCAGACTTAAGGCAAAAATAATTACTTTCTTATTTTCTTTTTGCATATCCAATTAAAAGCAGGCAAATAAACTTTTATATAAAAAAAGGAAACTACTTTTGAACTTATTATTATTTGCTTTCAATTAATTTTAAATTTCCTTTTCATTTTAAAGGTACTTGAAAGGTACTCGTTCTTTTCTTTTATTCCTGATTTAATACAGATTTTAAATATTTTCCGAATTTCATTACATTTCTGGTTTTATTTTTCAGTGTTGATAATAATGGTAAGAGGGAGTCACCACTAAAAGTGTGATAAGCGACATGCACACGTGAAAATGACCTACTTATCCACCCTCTCCCTTTTAAGTTCAGGCTAACCATTAATCTAAACCACTT